CGATTCGGGTGTCGTTCTTTTAGAGGTTTTACGGTAATTTAACTTAAAGTTGACTGGTTGGGCGGAGAGTGTTTACGGTATACCATACTTTACAAAATTAGGGCAATTACTCTTTGACTACACCACTCTTCGACTACACCTACTCTTTGACTCCACATTCTCTTTGACTACAAAGTCTCTTTGACTACATTTATCTCTTTGACTACACTTGTCTCTTTGACTACAAAGTATCTTTGACTACACTTTTTAAAATTTTAAAATTTTCTGCAGTTTTTGTGGGCGTTCTCACAGAATATAAGAAGAATTTGAGCCTAAGCCTATAATTTTAAACAAAAAACTGACAATTCCAAAAATACATCACAGTGAAAAAAGTACTGAAATTCGCGAAAATCAGCAAAATTCTCACTTTTTTTTCAGTCAAAAAGTACCATAAAACAAAAAAGTGTAGTCAAAGAGACTTTGTAGTCAAAGAGACAAGTGTAGTCAAAGAGATAAATGTAGTCAAAGAGATTTTGTAGTCAAAGAGAATGTGGAGTCAAAGAGTAGGTGTAGTCAAAGAGTGGTGTAGTCAAAGAGTAATTGCCCAAAATTAGAGCATCATTTTTGTAATGGATCACTTTTTTGCAAAGTTCCATTCTAATGAGACATGCCGTTTGTAAGCAAAAAAGTGCCGAAAACTAGCCCTTGTGTCAGTTTTTACCGCCTATCTCATTTGTGTGGATTTTGGCAAAAATGTCAATTACAAAAATAAAGCCCTGTTTTTGTTTATTATTTTCAGACAAATTGAAAAATTCTGGACTACTTTTTGGGGCATTGCGCTCGACGCTCGAGGAGCAAGAGGGACATGTATGCATTTATTTTCTATCAAATTTTTCTTTCATTCTTTGGTTTGGGTTTGCTTTTATTAGAGGAAATACTGTATTGTGAGTGGCTCTGTGTATACCTGGTTATGCCGAATCGCTGCTTCTTTAGTCATTTTTTCAATTTGTAGATGCCTTTGATTCGTGTCTTCCAACATCCGTATCACTTCCAGTTCTTAAATTTCCAAATTATAGATTACTGTAATTAGACAAGAGCAGGTAACTATGGATTCGTATTCAACTATAGGACATCAGAAATTCAGAAATTCAGAAATTTGCAAATTCGCACATTCAAGTAATTGAAACTAGCACAATCCGAAAATTATTAGCTGAATATTGTAAAACCTGTAATAGAAGGGCTCTTTTAACTTTTAACTTTGAGGTTATATATCTCGGTTCCTGTAAAAGATATCAAAAATATGTCAACTAATGAAATACTTATCATAATATCAAAATCATTTTGCCAGTTACCCACTCTTTGATATCTTTGACAGAAACCGAGATATACGGGCTCAAAGTTAAGAAGCTTGAATGCCTTCTATTTCAGTGTTTACGGTAGACCAGTTCAAAAATTATTAGCTGAATATAGATTCAATTTTGTAGCTATTAAATCGGAACAACTCTCTGAAAAAGTTCATGCTGAAAATAAGAAAGTTGAAATTTCAATAAATAGTAAGAAACGGTTTCATGGGAAACTTGCCTGTCCATTGCCCATTGCACTGTACAATCGCAATTAAAATTACAATTGTTGTTTTCATTATTCCGATAGTTTCAAATTATCAAAATACAGAATTCAAACAGCAATTCAAAATTTGGTGATTTTATGAAAGCTGATGGCTATTCCAAACCAGTTGACACATACAAAACACACTCACAAAAGTGAATGCTGCTAGAGAGTGCTAAAAAGGGTTTATATGTATTATAGAGGATGAATACGCAACACAAAAAGTCACTTTCAATTGCTGCTTCTGTTCTCTCTAATCCTCTACTTACTTTCCCTTTTGCCACGTCATCTCCTTCAAACAATAGAAGAATCAGCTGAAAAAATGTGTTCATTGAAGTCTTGAAAGGAAACATTTTAGAACAAAAAAATATATCATTGGGGATAAAGCGGGGGAGGTAAAACTGTTTTTCTTCGTTGAACATGATCAGAGGTGTAAAGCAAAGAAAATAGGGGAAAGGGTTAGGTTTTTTGTAGGAAAGAATTGAATTATGCTGAGGGTGGTTGCAGTGAGGGAATCTGCTTAAAATGAAAAACAACATCTGGAATACCCGCTTCTAGAGATTGTCAAGAATGAATGATGAGGAAGAAAACTGAAAATGAGAAAACAAAAAGAGAAGGAACAATAAAAATAAAATAACTCAATTTTGTAATAGGGATTTTTCACTGAAACTTTCTCACTGAAAGCAAAAATCTTGAAAACAATGCAGGCGGTGTAAAGTGGGAGGCATGTGTACCGGTGAAAAAGAAAAAAAAACATGATTATGAGATGTAGTTCAAAATTAAAAGAAAATGTTGGTTAATGAATAACCAGCTGAGTGATATTATCATGTTCGTGTCCGTGAGAGTGTCCATGGGGACTTTCGAAAATTCTTATTCCACCGATGAGCGCAAAACCGATGAACATGACAAGCAGCTTTAATAGGTTCGGATGTTCATTGTCTCTTTCGTGGAGGAGAACCTGGAAAAAAAAATTATATTTCAAACAAAAATTATGAATATTTAAAACGTGCAAAGAAAGTGACATACCTCAAAGAAAGTAACATAAATGAATGTTCCAACGGCAAGTCCTTGTAAAACGACAACGGTCGCATCTTTCCAGAGAGTATCTTCTCCAGCGGAAGTAATCACTAGGCCAATCAATGCGCCGAGTGGAGTCATCGAAGCCAACGTGACGATGGATATAATTACCTGAATTCAGTTACCAGTAAAACTTTACATTTCCGTTTTTCAATTACCCATTTGATTTGGTGAGCATGAGTACGGAACAATTGGAGGCCAACCGAAAAGGCGACTATCAATTTGTGAACCATGAGTGAGGTGAACAATGCGATGATCGCGTTTTCTCCACTGCCAACTCCAAAAGCAAGTCCTTCAATTATTGAATGAATGCTGAGAGCCAACACGAAAGTGATTGATCGAACTCCATGAGAATGGGCATGAGGACGAGATTTCATGAGGATTGGAGGATCTTCGTCAATTGCTTCGCAATTCGTTTCGCATCTTTCCGGTTCAGCAAAAGCAACCGGAGCGAAGGTACTGGAAATAAAAAATATATAGAAATGCTGATTCCAGTGGGAAATACGAGAGATTGGACTACAGAGGAAGGAACTTTAGAATACGTCGAGAAACAATAGGAGAGTTTTAAAGACACAATTAAGCTACCATTCACTTCCTTGATCTTCTGACCCATTAAAAGTGCTACCATATGAAGAGTAACGATTTCGATTACGAGTTATTCGTCTTCCCAACCTGTTATTTTTTAAAATGTGACGACCAGATTCTATTTCTCATGAACAAAAGTAGACTCACTGTGTAGCGTTTGCAGTACATTCATTGGATCCTTTACGCTCGTGAACAGTCAATGGACAATGTGTTTGACAGTGCCCTTCACCTTCTTTATCCACTGAAATTGCTCGTTTTGTCGAAGTAGCAGTGAGTGCCGTAGTTTCGTCAGCTGAAAAATTATTCGGAAGATTTGGATGAGAATCTGACTGCGGCTTGTTACTAACCAATATTCTCTTGATTCTCTTTTTTTGATTCCTCCACCGCACTCTCCACCATACAACATCCTCCTCCAACTTCAATCGGTGGAGTCTGCTCGTGATGGTGATGATCATGTCCGTGCCCTCCATGCCCATGGCCATGAGCGAAAGATGGAATCATCATAATGACGACTTCTTCGAGGAAAAATATTAAAAAGAATCCGAGGCAAGAGAGGAGTTCGCTGTATGGATAGCCAGTTGTGTCCCAACCGTAGTGACTAAGACTGCGCATCTTTTCCTGGAGTTCTGGGAAAAGATGAAGGAAGCAGGTGGCAAGGAAGACACCTGGAAAAATTAGAGTGAAGAAACAATAAGAAGCTTGAGGAGAAACCTCCGGAGAAGCATGTCAACAGGCAGAGAACCAATGAGACATGCTTGTGTTTTGAGGAGCTTTGAGCGGTGGCTGCTTCGTGTCGTAGCTTATGAAGAACCTGGAAAAGTCTATTTATCTCTGCTTAAAAACCATATATTTTTATTTCAACAACATATGAAAAATACCTTTAGAGGCGACATTCCAACGATGAACGTTAAGACGAACATGGCGAGCATAAGCCCCAATTTGAGCACGAATTCGCTCATTTTAGCTGAAAATTCATTTTTTCTGTCGAGCTGTTTTAAGAAAACGAGTGCAAAAAGAGAATAAAGTTGATAAGAATAAGGTAAAGAACAGTGCGAAGAATTGCAAAACTTGGGAAATTGATAAGACCCATCGATTTAATCTGTTCTCAGCTTTGATTGACTCCAAGCAACAAAGCGATACTTAAAGTGTATTTTAGAAGTTTTAGTTTTGAGAAACAGCGTCAATATAAGAACCAGAGTACAAAAGGTATCGAAAACGGGTCGGGTTTATGCAAGCAAAGGCCTTTAGGCCTGCGACGAATAGCCTAAATCGGCGCAACGACACTCCGATATAACGGGCGCGCGCTTTTTAGCAGTGAGAAAATTTGTCGAGTTTTGAAAAATTGCATGTCTAAATTGGTTTATTTTGTTTGTTCAAAGCTGTCTAAACTATATTTAAATAGTTTGAATAATTAATTTGAAATATAGTTTTAAAATACGAAAAAAAATCAATCTTAATACTTATGTCCGAACATATTCGAAGAAAGATCTGAAAGGACAGAACATATTCGCGCAAATATCTTCCTTCCTTCTCTTTTTTCCTTCTATTAATCTTCTGAAAATTGTCTATTTCTTTTTTATTATCCTGTTTCATCATCTCGCGTAACTCTGAAGGAAGTACAAATTGCAGTAGTCTTCATCGCTTGTTTCTATGATTCCAACGTCGCGTAGACAGCGATACTTTCGCCCCAATTCGCCGCCAGTGTCCGCCAATTCATCTTCAGTAGGCAGCTCATCAGGTGACACTCATCGACCCATGAACGTGCTAGAACAAGCGGAGTTAGTCATCGATGGAGGTGAGTTCTTGCGATGAAGTAGGAGTGATTTTCAAGCTGGCTGTATCCTCACAGACAACAGTTTTTAATAAGCTTTTAATCGATGTTTTTAAGGGGACGATCAACAAGTATCTCATGAGGAGATCGTAGACGATGGTACCACTGAAATGGTCGTCGATCACCACGGACACCACCAGCAACAACAACAGATACGAGGAAATCAGATACATCATCACCAAGTTTATGACAACAGACAGCCAACAACAACTACCGTATACCAAGTACATCAGCAGGCCCAGCAACCGCAAGGACAACCTCGTCGTGCTATTGGAAGACCATCGTTACAAAGACCACAAAACTATGGAACAAGTCCGATGGATATGGTGCAAAAATTGCAGAATAAGAATGTGTATATGCCACAACAAAGACCGCAAACTAGGATCTCCCCGGCTGGAGCAAGAATTGTCAGTTTTGCTGGAAGGAAAAGAGATAATCCAGAATCATTGCCACCAGGAGTTAAGGTTTGGTCATAACACATAACTGTGACAATTTACAAACTCACAAAACTGAATATTACAGAAAATGAATATCGCCTCCACACGTCCTCACCCCATTTCACAACTTCAGTCTACACAACAACAACAACAAGTTCAACATCAACAAGCTCAACAACAAGTAACCCAAAAGAGTCATCAACCAGTGAAGGTTGTTCGATTAGCTGCTGGTGGAGCTCGTGCTAATCCAACAGCATCAGAGCACGCTCTTATTGAACTAGAAGCCAACATTAAGCAGACTATTGAAGACTCGAAAGTTGACATGGAAAGGCTGCGAGAACTTCAAGAGGCCGAGCTCACACAAGACGATTATCATCAATATCTGGGAATGTTATTGATGGATTTGGAAAGGGCTAATGAGGCAAATTCGACACTCAACAATTATTACCGCGAGCGTCAGAGGCACGAGAAGACAATCAGTGATGCTCGCGAAGTGGCGTTTTCAGCAAGAATCAGACAATTGGAGACGGAAAATCGGAAGCTGAGAGATTCGGTTCATGCAATGTATTGCGCGAAATTCAATGAAGCTGGTGGACATAATAACATGTATCGTGGGGATCATATGGTAACAAATTCTGAAAATTGTCAATGCACCTAATGGTACAAATTGCAGGGCCAAATGATTGTCGAGCAAGAAGAGCATGTTGTAATTGAGGGACATGGGGATAATAATCAAGAAGCGGTAGGATAAAATTTATATATTTTTTTCGATTAACAAAGTTTTTCTCATTTCCAGGAAGAAGTTCCACAGGAATGGATTGTTGAGGAGACTGTCGAAGAGCATCGTATGCACCTCGAGGAGCTGGAACCACAAGACCACACACATCTTGTTGATGATCAACAACATCAAGAAGATGATGCTGATGATAAAGAGAAGGCGTTAATGGTTCGAAACGATCAATTTGGTGGCGCTGGAACTTCGGGAGGACCTAGTTAATCGCTTCGAACGTCATCTTTTTAATTTTAATTTTTTTCTTTACTCACGGATTCCTTATCACTTTTAAGCCGAATGGTTTCCAACTTTCAAGAGAGCAGTGTTTACTGTTCTATCACTTTTCAATTTTTTTGACAAATTTTCTGAATTTCCAAAACTTCCCTGCCAAGGTTCTTCACTATTTACCATTGGCTTCTTTCGCTTCTCTTTTATGAAAGAATCAAATTCGTTTCACTCTTAGGCTATTACCAAATTACATTATTACTCTTTTAATCTTATGATTTCGTATCACAATTCTTCCCGTTCATTCTGTCAGATACTCTTCGCAAGGTGGCAATCTACATCTGAATCTCCGAATCCAATAAAAGTGACTATTAAGTGCTTTTCCCTTATTTTTCGGTGTCTGTATTATACAGGAATTGATATTTTTCTCTAGCAATTTCTCTTGTTTTTTCTTACATTTACGAACTCATGAGAATCCGCATTTTCAAGTAGAGTCCTTCGGAGGTCTCGTCGCTCGTCGGATGTGCTAGCCTTGTTTTGTTATGCACAGTTTAGGCAGTTCTGAAGTTCTGAGAAAAAAAACAGAGATTATAATATCGGTCTATCTATAAGCTTAACATCGATGCATTACGTACAAAAATTCTTATTTTCAGAATCAAAAATGACAGGAGGCCTAATAGCAGCTGGTTTGGGTCTTGCCGCAGTTGGATTCGGTGCTCGATACGTGTTGCGGAATCAAGCATTGATTAAAAAGGGAATGGAAGCATTGCCAGTTGCCGGAGGAGTATATCCTTTATCTATCATTTTTGAAACAACGTTCGCAATGTTTTCAGCTGAACAGTTATTATCGAGGAGGATTCGATCAGAAGATGTCGAGAAGTGAAGCAGCTAAAATCCTCGGAATTACGCCGTCAGCCAAGCCAGCGAAAATTAAAGATGCACACAAAAAAGTGATGATTGTGAATCATCCAGATAGAGGTGATCTAGACTTTTTTCGAAATAAACCAATAAGAAAAGAAAACAGAGATCTGCCCTCTTTCCTAATCCTGCTTTCCACTCTTTTCCATTTTTTTTCTATTTTCTTCCCATTAAAAATGCAGTGCCACGCTCTAATGAGCTCAAATGATTGAGAGACATTACTTCTTCTTTCTTTCAGGAGGATCTCCATATTTGGCCGCTAAAATCAACGAAGCTAAAGACTTGATGGAGTCAACGAAAAGCTAATTTTTATCTTTTTTTTCGATTCGTTAATTGTAGTTTTGAATATTAGTGTTTCTCGTTTTGTCTCGAATAAAAACATCTTTTTTCTCTTAAATTTTTGTTCTCAACTCCGATAACGATTCCGGTGACTCATTGTTTTTTGTTGCTTTTTTTTTCGATATATCCCATGGGATTCCTTTCTAGCCATTTATCCGTTTTTCTTCCTTCTGCCATAAATAGTATTACCGAGTCAAGGCCAAATTTGCCATCTTCTGGTTTTCGAACTCTAATTTTGCAATTAATAATTTGGAGTCCGAAGTTTGCACTATCACCTATCTTATCACTGTTACTATTGATTTCTAGAAGTTTCTGCCGTCTTCTCGTTCAACCAACTGATAAGCAATAGTATTTAGACCTTGCGTTTCGTAAAAAAAAACATTTTTTAAACCGACTTCTCTGCCTTGTTTTTAATGGGGTTATTCATGACATAAAAAATATATTTTCTTGTATTTTTTTAACACAAAATATTAATGCATGCATGCGAAAAAATGTATTTCATGTATTTTTTCGTATTTTTTTGTATTTAATAAACAAATCATGAATAACCCCATAAAAGAAGCTTAACGTGAAAGGAGCATGAAAGGCAAATGGACGGCGAGAGAGACCTAATTTGATATCTCATCCATCTCATGCACCGACTCTCCTCTTTTTCCTTTTCTTTCAACTACACTTCTCCTATTTTTCCGTTTTGTGTAACTCATTTTTTTTTCTAATATTTCTTTTTCTATATTTTTGTTTTAGAGAGTAATGTTGACAAAGTTTTGAGGCTTAATTGTTCATTTAGAAGAGGAACAGTTCTAGAATTCAATTTTTAGCACAATAAACTTATTTTGAGCCGGTCATTTTCAGCCAAAGTATGCTTATTTTTAGCCATTTTTTTTCATCATTTTTAACTGATTTTAGACCAATTTTAGAGTTTTGTTTTCTGAATTTCTGTAGTTTCGTTCAATTTAACGTCCAAAATCATCTCAATAATTGTCAAAAGTTGTATCTGTGAAGATGTAAATAATCCCTGATCATTGAAAGTTCTCAAAACCTTTTTCTTTTCTAGGTCTGATTCGAATGAACTGTATGTTGACTTTGTTTTTTTTTCAATTCTTTCGTAATTTCCGGATTTCAGTGCCATAATGACACTTCCACGCTTCGACCAAATCCGACCAAAAATCGAGGCGCACATCCGGGAGGTGAAGGATTTCCCCAAGAAGGGCATCAATTTCCGGTAAGACTTTGAAAAACACTCCACAATCAAAATAATGGCCAAAATTCAGTGACATAATGCCTCTGTTCACGAATCCTCAACTGGTCAACGAACTGTGCGTCGTCATCGCAGACCATGTTCGTCATACCGTTGGCCACGTGGATTCGGTTGCTGGTCTCGAAGCGCGCGGATTCCTTTTCGGTCCACAAGTGGCCATTCAACTTGGAGTTCCATTCGTCCCTATACGGAAGAAGGGAAAGCTTCCAGGTGCGACGATTGAGGCATCGTATCAAAAAGAGTATGGAGAGGATATTGTGGCGATTCAAGAAGGAGCCGTTAAATCAGGGGATATCGTTTTTCTGATTGACGATTTGTTGGCAACCGGGGGAACTCTTCGTGTAAGTTATTACAAATTAAAAGATAGTTTCAGAATACAGTAATATTTCAGGCTGCTGCTAACTTGATTCAAAAAGTCGGTGGAAAAGTGGGCGAGGCATTTGTCCTTATCGAATTGGCACCATTGAACGGGCGTGCTAAACTACCTGATGTTAAACTGACGACTCTTATCTCTTATGATAGTGCATAAGCTATTCCAATCATTCTACAAGATTATTTCACTTATTCTCAAGAGCTTTGAGACTCAAATATGTATCAAAATATAAAGAGTTTATAGATTGTTTCCTATTAAAAAAACCATAAATTTATTAAATTATATTATTGCAACAATTATTCAAATAGAAAGAAGGGGATACAAATCATGGAACATAAGGCGAAATCATGGATGAAACAATTAATCGATGCAATTATTTACGAATGTGATCTTTTTTGAATGAAATCATTATCAATTTGTAGTACCTCGTCAGATGCAAGTGGGAGCTGAAGATAAAATAGGGGGAACGGAAAGCTGCAGGGGGAAATGAAAAGGGGAAAACTGAAAAAGGACCGGAAAAGTGGTAAACATATAATTTTCTGTATTTACATGAAATATTTTGAGCTTAGCTTCAAACAGAAAGTACCGTAACATTCGATAAAAACTTTAAATTAAATAATTATGCGATTAAAGTGCTTTTATACTATTGATTATTTGTCCGTACTCGTATCAAGGTGTAAATTGTGCTGTAATTGTTGTAAATCATCTAGCATCGTGTCCAGACTCTCCAGATGTGCATTGAGATCTTCTGTAGAGTGAGAGGGCTGAAAATTCGGTGAATGAGATAAATTCAGATTCTAATGATTCTTACCAGCATATTTGCAACAATCTTATCACTACCAGTTGTTTTAACAGGCGTCGTCTCTCTCATCTCCATACATTCACCCTTTTTATCCGAATCACCAGCATCCGAGGAAGCAGAGCACGACGCAAACGGACTGTAGATGTTTGCCACATTGACACGTGGCTGAGCTGTGGCTCGTCCAACTGGAACCTGTCTTCCGCCAGCTGCAATGATTGTCGGTCTCATCGAACTTGTTGACGTGGCAGAGTGAGGAGGTGGTGGAGTAGCACCAGCAAGTTGAGTGAAGGAGCGAAGAGCATTGGCGGCCGAAGAATTAGGAGGTGTTCCACGTAGAGTGCGGTAACCGTCAATTACTGTGGGTGGGCCTGAAGGTGGAGCTTGCATAGGTGGCAGGGGAGGAGTAGAAGCAGATCCGATTGCCGAGGAAGATCCGTATGGACTGTCAAAGTCGATTTTGTGAATAGGCTGAAAATTCAATTCGCTTTTAATTGATTCATTGATCCCTGATTACCTGATGTCTTCCTGTTCCTGTATAAACCACTTGAGGTGTCCGTTGTCGTCCTTCCAAACTTTGTGAACTTTGATGATAGCTTCTAGTAAGGGTACCTTGACCTGAAAAGAATAACTATTTTAAGAGGCAAACAGGATATTGAATGAAGCTAATGTTAACTGTGTTAGAACTATTGAAAGTGAAAAAAGATGAGGTGAGACACATCGAATAGAGGGAAAATGTGAAAAATCACACTGTTGCTGTGAGTATGAATAGCAAAAGTGAGTGAAGAATAGAAATTTACAGCAAATCACACAAATGGAACGAAAAAAAAAAGAAAAAAAGACATGCTTCTTTATAAACGGACTCTACCAAAACTCTTATTTATAATTAAAATGAAAACACAACGTTTCGGTAGAGCGCATTTATCTAACACTGCAAATTCAAAAATCCACATTCGGTACCCTGAACAGTTCCAGTGACGATTGCTTTCGCCCGCTGCACAGGTCTTTCAATTCGAACTCTCGTGGCTACCAATGATTCCACTGGCTCCTCATCTTCATCTTCTGTTGTACCTATGGCTGAGCACATGGATTGGGCCATTGGAGTGCTTCTCGATCCACTATTGCCACGTTTTGGAGCACGAGGAGGTCTGGTGGTAGGATTGCCACTAGCCCCGTGTATGGAGCCATAAACCGAATCTGTTACAGAAATTGACTAGAAACATAGGAGAGAAACAAAGGATAGAGGGAAGAAATAGAAAATAAGGAGAGCAAGATTAGAGATGGATGAGAGCGTTAGACGGGTTGAAGTTCAACCTGTTTGAAGAGATAAATGGTTACATACCTTGAAGATGATGGTAGCGAGGAGTGGGAGAATCAATGTCTGCCGCTGTTAGATGTGCAGTGGCAAGACCGTCAACCATATAGTCAGATGCTGTAAATTCAAACATATTTAGGCATTCATGTGATGAAAGTACCTCCAGCTCTCATATGACTTCCAGTTCCGTTGATCCATAAATCATTGGGAGGTCCACCGATTCCGCCTCCAACTCCACCACTTCCACTCGTTTTCTTTGCTGATTGATATCCATTCTTTCTTCCACCGCCGCCGGATCGTTTCAAGCAGCACATGATAATAAGAATGAGTGTCAAGATGAGAATCAGAGCGAATGCAATCAGCAGCATTAGATAAAGCGGATTCGTTTGGAAAATCGACTGGAGTTGTTCGATTAGTGACACAGTATCGCCCATTGCGGAGCCATGACCACGAGGAACATTGCGGTCTCGTCCAGAAAGAATAGCACCACCGGATGGTGTGTAGCCAACGATTGACGAGAAAGGTCCATGGCCTGAAAACTTTAGAAATGAAGAACTTCTGAAGAACTGATATCTTACCTTTCTCATTCCTCGCTTGAATTTTGAAGAAGTAATTAGCTTTCGGAAGTAGGTTACTGACTTGATGTGATAGTTTATCTCCTGCCACATAGTTGATAGTCCAATCCTTATCCGAAAGAGACTCCCTATCCGTGTAAAAAACCAAATACTCTTCGATTTCTCCGTTTGAATACTTCGGCGGTTGCCAGTGAAGACTCGCTGAATGTGGATCCCCAGATTCAGCAGGAAGTACTGTAAGATCTCTGGGGGCGGAGCTTGGAGGTGCAGACCAAGTTCGGTTCCTTGCTGCCATTGACCATGTGCTGAGCTGCCCGTTCGACGCAACGGCTCTAACTGCGAACTCGTATTCTGTAGCCGGTCGAAGTCCTTCTACAGTTGCCCATGTTTCCGTACTATTCACATATCTGTGTTGGTTTCCGTCAACTGAAGTGCTGTATCTAACTGTGTATTGTGTGTTGAATGCCGACTCGTCAGACTCCGTCCACATAACACGTATTGATGTACCGGAAACTGCTTCTGTACGCAGGCCAACTGGAGTTGATTCGGATGATCCCAACTGGCCATCAGCGTCATCTGAATCCGAGTCTTCTGAGAAGTGTGGAGTCTCTCGTGACAATGTCCTCACAGTTTCATATATTGGAAATCCGGACCCCAAATTGTTGAAAGCTCGAAGAGATATCACATAATCTCTTTCAGAGCTTAGACGAGAAATCTTATACTGTGTTGTTGAAGCTGTGACTCGAATAGTTTCGGTATCCGGAACAGATAGACCCCATCCGATCTGGTATCCTCTCACTAAATTTTGTTCGTCTGCTGGCGGCAACCACGATACCAAAATGTAATCGATTCCTGCATGTGGCCGAATCTCTCTAGGAGCACCAAGTGTCCTTTCTTCCTTATCTTGTCCAGGAGTGTCCACTGCAACCCATTCGGAGAACGGTCCAGTTCCATTGTGATTTACAACAGCCATTCGAATCAGATATTGAGTATTCGGCTCTAAATTTCCCATGGTATACTCCCGAGACGTTGCATCGATGACAAGAGTGTTTCCTTTAGCACCACGGGCCTTCGTCTTATACTTCAGACGATATCCAGTGACCTCTCCATTCACTGAATATTTCTCTGGTTCATCCCATGACACACGAACGCTAGTGGAACTGTCAGCTTCTGCTTGAATGTTTACCGGTGGAGCTGATGGCTCATCGGATTGAGTTCGGATACGAACGGTGTCACTAGAAAGACCGGAACCATTAGCTCCTTCGGCTTCGATCCGGATTTGGTAACCAGTGTATTTATCCATTCCGTGTAGGGTGTAATGCGTGGTCGAAGTCTGAAAATGATAAATTCTATTAGTCACGAACGTTTAATCTCTTACCGTAATCAATGTTTCCTTCTCACTCTTTTCCAGCGGATCATGCGAATAATAGATTTTATAACGAAGAGCGGGTTGACCTCCAGATGGTGGACTCCACCGGATATCGATAGTTTCCGGTCCGGTAGCTGTAGCAACCAGAGAGGTGACTTTTCCAGGAACAGCTTGCTCTTTGTTTGTTGTAACTTTCAACGAATCACTGAACTTCCCCATTCCGGCTTCATTCTCAGCTGTCACTCGAATCAGATACATTGTGAATGGTTGAAGAGAAGTCAGCGTAGCCGATGTGCTTGATGAATTAATCATTCTCTCTCTATCAATTGAATTGTCTTTGTAGAAGACGTGATATCTCATAATGTTTCCATTCCTTTGCACTGGTGGATCCCATTCGACATTGATGAATCTTGATCCAGAAGATGTCGATCGAAGACCCAATGGGGCTGAAGCAGTCATTGGAACTCCCGAGGAAGCAGCCACAGATGACGAATCTGAAACATGGGGAAATGTTAAAAGAGAACTTGAATCTGAAGAAACACAGCAACACAATCCCTTGTTAAGAACCTAGAATACCCGTTTTAGCAAAAAAGAAAAGACAGCAGACGTTTTAGTGGAGCAATCACATGAGAGAAAAAATCACCATCAGATAACAGCTGTAATTTCCCAACTTTTCCAGGTTCATTGGTTCTGGCTGTATGCAATCCATGGCTAGCCAAATACGTCGGCCCTGGACCGAACAAAAAAATGTTATTTTTTCAATTAATTAAAGATTCTGCTGACTTCAGTTTCCAAGCTTTCTACAATAAACTGTACTTACCAGGAGCATCTACAAGTAGCTGAGCACTAGCTTGTTCACTTCCTACATCATTTTCGGCAATGCACTGATAGATGGCTTGGTCTGCACGGACGACTCCCAGAATACGGAGTCTGCTTGGTTCGATGACAAAGTATTCACTTCCGATGATTGCTTCACCATTCTTATACCAACTGACACGTGCTTCTGGACGTGCTGCAGCCGTGCCACATTCCAACTCCACATCAGCAGTTTCAACAGCAACTTTCGTAGCCGGTCGAGTGGTGATTCTAGGTGGTGCACGAACTTCAACAGATACTGCCCGGTCAATTGAGTCGTCATTGTTTGATGCACGACACGTGTAGAGTCCGGTGTCTTCTATAGATGAACGGGAGACCAAGATGGACGAGACACCAACACGACGAATTCGAACTCCGTCAACAATGATTTGTCGAGAGTCTTTGAGCCATCGAACCTGTGGACGAATGCGAGATGCTACGAGACACTCGAGTAGGAATTCGCCGCCTTGTTCAACAACTTGAAGACGTGGAGTGGTGATAAAACTTAATTCGTTAGATACCTCTCCTGCAAAATGTCTATTTTTGTACATCCTAATCCCAAACTTTCCTACCAATTGTAACTGCCAATCTGGCCGTTTGACTACTCCTTCTCTTTCCTGCTCCTTCCACCGTACACCTATACGTTCCCTCATGTCTTGACTGTACTGAGCTGATTTCAAGCGTGTTTGAAACTGGTAAAATGTGGTATTCTCCTGAAAAAAAAGACATTTTAATTTTGGGAAGAAAAAGGAAATTTAGATAAATTGAATTGGGTCATTTGGAAAAAAGACAATAACATCTGGTCATTTTTTCTACTCTTTTTTGGACTCCCCATCAATTTGGAAGAGAGCCCATCAATTTGGAAGAGATTTCCCTCGGGATAAGATGGGTTCTCATCCTTTTTTTCCTAAAAAGATCGACTAGCGGTTAACTCATTACCTCCATTAACTATCGGTTGGTCATTGTGAAGCCAGACCGCTGATGGTGTTGGTTTCGAGTTCTGAAAAAAATTTTAATTACAATATGAAGTCAAATATGCCCTCACAATTAGACAATGGAATGCGGTGGGTTGTCCCTTTGCGACAGTTCTATCAACTGGTTGTAACTCGAATTTCGATAAATCAGCCAATCGTAAAGTGGCTTTTCGACTCAGAAACGTCCATGTGTCGATTGCCAAATCGTTTTTTGATGTTACATGAACGGCACATTGATAGGTTCCTTCTTCAGCACTACTCATCGCTTCGATCCATAGTGATCCGTTGGACATTACTTTTCTAGAAATAGAGAGCATTCAGAGTTTTCAACTAAATTTTCAGATGCATCGCAGTTTATAATTTTCTGTGTTTTAAATATTTGCATTTCCACAAGCCTATTCTCCCATAGTCGTTTCTTTATGACCGAGCCCCCACACTCCCGCGCTACTGGTCCATATGGTTCCGGGACTCTGATACTTATGTCTCTGTGAATCCGTATGAGATGCTGTCTCGGTGTGTGTGCAATTGACAGATGGCTTGAATGTCTTAGTGCGCACGTAAATGTGAACTGCTCTCTGCACTCGCATCCGCTATGAATAACTACCAAACTTATTTATTATCAACAGACGGAAATTTGAAGAAGAGTAAAGCATCTCTCCCTGCATAAACCCACAATAATCCATGTTCTCTAACTTAATCAGATCTCAGTAATCTCCGTTCTTCAACCCTGACTTGATTGAAGACGTTTCCATTCGTCTACCATCACAAATTCAATGCCATTTTTCATACAGACTGTTACCACACCAAGAGCCTTGGACCTGTCAATCAACTGTCTTCCCGTTGTCTTAGTGCTTTGGCTGCTGTCTCCAAAAATACCGCTCTCTCTCTTCCCGCCTCTAAATTTCGATTCAATCTATTCCTTTTCTCAATGGCCATGAAAAGAAGATGAAGAGTATTCTAAAACGTCGTTGCTGCTTTTTTGTTTACCTAGTCAAACCAGAATATTGACGGTGGTTGCTTAAAAAGAAATTGAGTAGGATATACTAGACGGGATATACATGACAAATGACCGGAAAGAGTTGACAGACTATACTGACATTCCAGAATTTAGTTACAGGCGATTAAAGTGACGTCCGATAAGATTCTTGACGCTTAAAGTGACCAGACAGTGAATGTTTTTTCGAGCCACTAATGGCACAATGCTGTTTAGTATTTTTCACCGAATATGTAAATGATGGAAGAGCTCATCTTCACATAGGAATTTGACCAGCGAGTGTACACTTGTTTTATATACTATGTCGTCTAATCCTTTCATTCGACCAAAAGGAAGTACCACGGAATGACTTTGTATGTGTTTACATGTATATGTAAGGCCGTATAAAACGACGGAGGGAGAGAGCACTCTAGCTTATTCATGCATATGTGCATAGGACACTTAACCCATTGTCGTCTTCTTTGAAAGACTTTGTAACGAAGGGAAGCAAAAAATGAGCAATTGCTTTTGCTGAGCAATTTCGTAATATGTTTTTGGTTTCTAACTAAATATTAGACCAGTTATGAAATTTTGAGTTGGGAAATTCAAATAAAAATCTAGTTATAAAGATTCGGAAATCATTTGTATCGACAGTTAAAAAGTTGGGAACGATTAGCATTCTCAAAACCACAACATTCTAAAAACTTACATTCTCGATGACGACCTCTCGCTAAGCATAACTCCATCTCGTTTCCACTCAACACGTACTGTCTGAACGTATCTCTCATGAGCCAACACATAACTACATTCCAATAAGTGACTTGTGGATTCGGACACAGTGACATTCCTTCGCGGTTCCACTTCGAACTGGAAGCCAAGACTTCGTGGATCTGAAAGTTTGATTCAGTTTAGTTGCTGTATAAATTCTTCGGGTGTTTTTCATATCGAGGAAGTCTCAAGGATTTTATATGGCCAATTCACCTCGGGGGTGTAATAAATCTTTCATTATGCGGCATTCTCTCATACCCTAGAAAAACTTCTCTATTATTAAATTCTCGAAAAATGTATAGGAATGCAAGATTGTGACGCACCCGATTCTTTCTTTATTTTTCTGAATTTCATTTGCATTGTTTTCCCTCATCTCCTGAATTACTTGTGAGAAAGAACAATGACCCATTTTGCAATTGTAATGTGAAGGAATTTGGAGAAAAATTGGAGTCAATTAACCCATTCCGAGGTTTTCATTTTGCGTTTCCTCATTATTCAAATAACAAATAGTGGTTGCATCTCCTCAATGTAACGGAACGGGCAATACGACATTATGCAATCAAGGAACACACACAGAAGACACAAATGACGGGGGTCCTTTTCTTTTCTACTCCGATTGCCTCATCCATCAATTTTGTTAGGGAAGGGGACACACGGAGGAGAAGCCAATGGGATAAAAGAAGGATGCCATTTCATTTTCGACGTTGGTTCCTCTTTTCTGACTGCTGATGGGGTTGGTGGTTCTAGAGTTGTGTCACAATTCATTCGAAGAGAAAGGAGAGAGAAACAACATGAACGGGATAAAACATCGAGATTAGAATCTATGACTGACAAGCTGCTGGGGAATTCAGAATTTCAAGAATCCGAAACTGGTGAACTGGGAATTCAGAAGACGTCGCAAATTGACAAAGTGCAGTTCAACAATACTTGATACATAGAGTTGACTAGTGTATGAAAGCACTGACTTCCTATACTAGTTGAAAAAAAGAAATTTGGAAAAAGAACTCTCTGTACAAAGTAATCGAACATTTGAGAGTATTGCAGTTACTTTGCTACAATCTGTTTTTTCTTCTAATTTTTCTGTATTCAATCACTAGTATGCAGCAGACTGTCTCCTGTCACCAACACAGTTGGATTTATGAACATGGCAGATGGTCATAAATCAATTAGGTCCATGAGGAAATTATTGGAGAATATTTGAATTTTTTAAAACATTTTTTTCAGCAAAAACAACCGAAATACTCACCATTTTCTGTAGACCTCCTATGATGCTTCCTTGTTGTGGCAAGTGTAGTGGACAAGTAGACTGTCAAGATTATGAGAATGTAACCTGGAAAATGCACAAATATTAATTTTAGATTTCAGCCGGATAACTGTTTAAAAACAGCTGCTTGTTTCTCTGTGATTAGAATTAAATTAAGACCTTTCCAAATTTTATCAGCAAAACTCGAGAAGCATATTCGCTGATAAGAATATTCTTTAGTATTAATGAAAAACGTACCAAAGTGCTGCAAATTCATTGTGTGATGATTATGTATCCCTTTCTTCTCATCCTATATTGAGCAATTGATGTTTCTGAAAACAATTTTATTATTTTTACCAGAATCTCTTTCATTCATAATTCAAAGAAAGATTTAGGAATATTCAGAACCACAGCAAAAAATTATTCAAGCATAATTTTTATTCTAATAAATAATCAATAGATGCAGAAAATTTGAGAACAGTGCTCAAAGAAAATGCTGAAACGTCTTCAGAACTGCTCCAGAAGCGAGTGCGGGTGTCCGGCGGGAAGTGGGTGGGGCGAAACTGGACACTGGCTAGTTTCTCTGTCGTCTCTCAACCGAAAGTGCACACTCGTGCCGTCTGCACTCTCACCTCACCAGTGCCGTTGGATGCGTCGCGTGCGCGCAGCGCTCACACTCGGATATTTTTCATTTTAATCACCTTCGCGCCCATTTACGATTTGAATTGCTTTATCGATTTTCATATTTTCTTCTAACAGTCACAACCCATTTTTTGATTTAGATCCTTCAATGTTGAATCCAGTGTCTATCATTTGTAGTAAATATTCAGATTAGAATGAGTATGGCCTATTTTTCGAAAAATTTCGCTTTGAAATACTCCCTTGTTTTATAGTCCCCCAATTCTTTTTGACAGTGGAAACTCAATCTTTATTGTATTTCTAGGTCAACCCGGCTTATTTTTCTTCAAAAAAGCATACGAATGAGCTTCGCATTAATTCCTGTCTGACTGTCTTTTGCAATATTTTCAAGTCCACTCACTTCCGATAAAAAAGTTCTATCTTAAAAATTAATTTCAGATATGTCGGATAAATCGGGAGGATTCCTCTCATCGGTCAGCCGATTTTTCTCAGGTGGTAGTGCCAGCAAGAAAACTGCCACTTCCCCGAATTCCCCTTCCAGCGGAGATGGATCTTCACCAGCATCGCCGTCTACTGCTCCTCCAGCAACATTTCTTAGAGATATCATAGGCGTTGACAGCGAATCTACTGAAGCTTCAAGTGAGCTCGAAAAACACCGTTAGTAAGGAATTAAATATGTTTCTTCTAGATGAAGTTGCTGTTGATACTACACAAAACGCTCGAATTGGATCACGCCTTCGTTATCTAAGCCCTTCGGCTCTTGATCGAAATGTTGATTCATCGAATGGATTACAGATTGAAGTGGACCCAGAGCAAGATATTTTTTTCAATACACCATCCATTTCAACCGTAAGTCAACTTTTAAAAACGTATCGAATTATTTGAATTTTCAGAATCGCAAGCGACAGTTAACCGAATTGGAGCGACAAGATCTTCCACATTCATTCCGAAGTGATAGTGTGAAAAGAAGTCGGTATCTGAATCGTTCATTGCTCGAGCCAACACTCAAAGGAACTTTGACAAATGATCGTCGCTTAGATATGTCGTGGTGTGGAGGCGTGACCGGAAATCACTCTCCGGCTTCGAGTGTCACTAACTTCTCTCTTTTGAGTCGTCGCAGCGGGGCAACGACAAATGGATCGTTGAGTAGCCGAACACAAGAGATATTCAAGCGGTTAGAAAACGCCAATACTCCAGCCAAAGATGTTCAAAGAATGACTATGTTGCGTGCAGGTCTTTCTCGACCAGAAAGCTGGGGACCAAGCCAGAGCCAAGACCGAGACACATCATCTATCGCCACACCACCACCGCCACTGAAAAAAGCCGGAGACGCGATTCCATCGCGAATTCAGTTAATATCGAAGTCCTTGAGCACGTCAGCTCGACGAACTCCATATTGGACAGATTTAACTCGCAAAAGGACTATATCTAGAAATGGTGATAATGCATCGGAAAGCAGCTCATTAAAAATGTTGAATGGGACTCTAGCTTGTACAGAGGTAAGTGAAAAATTCCGTTTTTTTGTACTTTGTTGATATTCAGTCTGATGCTATTCTCAGTATATTTGATAATTTTTTTTCAGCTGAGCTCGGTTTTCTCCCTAGATCCACCAGCTCCCAAGAAGATGGCGAGTTCATCATCTTCTATTTCAACAGCGACGATGAATTCGACGAGTAGTAGGATTTTGAAAGGCCCAGATGGAAAACCCGTAAGCCGCAACACTTTCAAACTCACTGACGATCTTGTGGAAGAAAATGATGACTCACAGAAACTTCCTCCGATTCCAGAGAGTCTAACCAACGCGCAAACCCTGAAACTGGCTCCAGAATCCGCTCCAAAGCGTGGGTTCCTCGATAACCTTTCCTTTTCGTTTAGTGCACCGTTAGATGTGGTAGCCGCTGTGGGAACTGCTAAAACCGCCAGCATTGCTAGTTCTATAAGATCGTCATCAGAATCGAAGGAAGTCGACAGTGATAGCGGAGAATCAGTAGATAAACCAACATCAGATGGTAGCTCGGATGAGTCGGGAGATTCTGATGATGATGGATTAGATGAGGTGAAGGAGTCTCGCCCACAAACGTCTGCGGATACTATTACAAGTGCGGAAGGTTCATCTAACCAAAGCTCGAAGGATTCGTCACCAAAAACTGCGAAAGATGTAGACCCGATTGCTCCTTCTGTTGTTCCAACGCCAGTTGTTTCTTCTGGTGTTAAATGGGTTTGCCAAGTGTGCTACTGTAGCTGGCCAGAATCTGTAAGTTCAGCGATCAAGTATTCCAAATATTTTTTATTTTTAGGATTCTAAGTGTGGAACATGTGAAGCACCACGAGAGGGAAGCAGTTCTGCGGCTCCGGCTCAAAAGAAATTGGTATCGAACATAAGTTCTTTTGCTCCACCTTCATCTTCTGGTTTCAAGTTCGGATTTGGAGGATCCTCATCGTCTGCTTCTACGGCGACAACTTCGTCTTTTACTCCGTTTGGAAGTGCAGCACCATCAAAACCAACCGAAGCGAAATCAACTCCCGCCGTGGTAGTAATCACAACCACCCCAACCGTTCCAGTTGTAGCTCCACCAACTGCAGCTCCAATCATTCCACCAACTGCAGCTCCAACAATTCCACCAACTGCAGCTCCAACAATACCACCACCTTCAGGCGATCGTGTTGATTGGATTTGCCCGACCTGTTGTGTTTCAAATAAAGCTACAGACGATAAGTGTATCGCCTGTAGTCATGTGAAATACCCTTCTGCTACGTCGTCGAACGTCTTCGGAAACAGAGCGTTCAAGCCTTCTGCGGCAACTGGCGGCATCCTTTTCGGAGTTGGTGGAGGAACTGTAACCACGTCATCAACCACACAGCCAGTGTTTGGATTCGGTGCCAAGCCTACTTCTCCAACAGTTCCAAATCCAACGTTTTCTGCACCACCCGCCACATCTCAAGCTGCAGCCCCTAGTCAAGGATTCGGTATTAGTACAGAAAATCCAACTACAACAACAGAAAAAGCTCCAGAGTTGCCCAAACTGTTGGTTCTATTTTCGGAAATTTGAGTAAGCCAGCGGAATCGACAGCTCCAAAACCGGATTCGACTGCCGCCCCTATTCCAACACCTCACACCTCCTCCTTGTTTGGAAACAAGAGTCTCTTCGTAACAGCGAAGGCTGCTGAGCCTGCAAAAGAATCAACGTTAAGCATTTTTGGGAAGAAGGAAGTATCTACACCCTCCGTAACTCCTGCAACATCGTCAACATCATCAACATCATCAGCCCCACCTGCTTCATCTGCTCCACAGACGTCCTTATTTGGAACTTCCACGACGTCATTTGGAGGAGCCTCTTTATTTGGTGCCTCGAAACCAGCCGTCGAGCCTTCGAAGCAACCTCCAACTTCGTTTGAAAAACCATCGTCCATTTCTTCTACATCTAGTGATGTGCCGAAAGCAAGTATTTTTGGAGCTGTGCCATCATCGTCGACAGCGCCTCCTGTTTCTTCCACAACATCTGGTTTGTTCGGTTCCGTACCTTCATCGACTACAAGCTTGTTTGGTGCGGCATCAAATAACTCTGGCGGCCAATCACTTTTCGGAGGAAAACCGATCCAATTCGCTTCAGAAGTCGGCACAACTACAACTGATGGAGGAGCTCCAGCCAAACGTGGATTGTTCAGTTCGGATTCATCGAAGCTTTCATTCAGAAGTGATCAGAAGGTTGATCCTCCAAAGTTTGGTGGTTTCGGTGGTTCGACAACTTCGTCCGCTGCATCATCATCTACTGGACCTTCCATCTTCGGAACAAGTTCAGGTGGATCATTGTTTGGAGCAAGCAACAACAATACCAATACTTTCAATGCACCAGGAAGTACTTCTGGAACTGCTCCTCCACCAGCGTTTGGTAGTAGCTCCTCTACTCCTTTCGGGGGGTCATCGTCGTCTACTGGTTTCGGTGGTTTCAACAGCACACCAACTCAGCCCGGAATGTCTACCAGCTCATCGTCAACCTCATTGTTTGGTCAACATCCACCTGATTCTACAAAGTAAGACCCACATTTTTTGTTTCAGCTGTATCTTCTTTTTTCAGTCCGTTTGGCGGAAGTTCTAATACCAACGGTTCTTTCAACTTCGGGGGCAATAATCAATCATCTACCGGAGCTCAAGGTGTGTTCCAGTTCGGTGCTCCAACATCTCAAGCTCCCCCTGCTGCACCTGGAGGTGCATTCCAGTTCGGTGCCCCAACAGCTCAAGCTCCACCTGCAGCACCTGGAGGTGGATTCCAGTTCGGGAACAATTTGTCAGTGCCACAGCCGCCTGTTCCTGGAAGTATGGATAATGCATTTGCTTATCAGTGAGTTAATTAGACATAGTATGGATTATCATATGGTCTCATTTCAGAGCTCCAAGTAATGGTAGTCGGAAAATGGCCATGGCTCGCCGACGTAACATTAGAAAGTAATCGATCTATTCGTCAACCCAATTAAAAATTGTTGTTGTAATCATACCATTTCCATTGTTTTTCTTTTTTCCCCAGCAATTTGGTTGAATTTTTGTTGTGTCTTGAGAGAAAAGTAACGTTTAAAACATATCCGTTTTTTTCAGTCAAAAATTAAACCGTTCAATTTCGTTCGTTCTTCTTCATGGTTAACCAGATTCAGATTTTTCTTTAGGGGCCAATATTGGTCATGAAGTGTCCTCTTCTCTCACACAACATTTTCCCAAATCGTTTTGCTCTCATTCCCTTTTGTTTCCGGTAATATTTCTTTGACGAACCCCGAGTATATTTTTCATTTATTATTGTTATTATCAAAATTATCCCCTCTGTCATAATTTCTATCCCCTTCCCAACTATTAACCTATCTTCCTTCCACCCCATCTATTAAAAAAGCCAGTAAAAGGCAATTTTTAGTTATATATTCCAAATATATTTTTCTCCAAAAAGCCCGCGCCGGTCCTAAATTTCTGTGAGCCTGATATCATTTCAACTCTAAACCCGTTCAATTATTGTTGTCCTTATCTATCACTCGAAGGTCTTCTCCATACAAACTCTTTTGTTCTCATTTCCTTAACCGTTTTGCCCAAATCCACCCGAACATTTCCAGTGATTTTGCTCAAATTAAAAAAAGACAACTTTCAAAAACAGCTCTTGTTCCCCTTAGTTTGTGAATACCCCCGTCCCGATAAATAGGCCAATAATGTATCGTGATTATCTGAAACTATATGCAGATAATACGTAATTCGGAGCTCCGCTAGTAGTCAATTAGACCCTTTACCTAATCATATCGTTTGTTGTTTTTTATCCGAAGTCTTTATTCATATTTAGTTTCGGAACTGAGATTTTTATAGTTTCCTCTAATGTTTTTCAAATTTTAACAATCATATTGATGTTTCCGTCCCTTCTCCCAACAATCCACCCCTTCAAACTTTTTTTTGTAATCGTCTACAAGCGAAAAATAAAAAGGTGTGAATATGTCTAATGTTGCAATAACATGAACATTTTTTGGAGCTCTCTAGGAAGAACAAACAAAGACTTACAGTGTGAAGAGTCGCGGGAGCAGTAAAAGCCAATAGACACAGTATTTAGTATTAATCTTTCATTAGAATTTTCTAGAACACAAGCAATATGTATTTTGACAGGTAGATGTTGATAAAAAGACTGCAAATGCGAATAAAAAGGAAAAGGAAGAAGAATAAAAACGACGAATTGTGAAGAAAAAGAATGAATGCGATGGGAGAAGAAGTTGTGATATCTTATCTCTGTTTTCTAAGAATGTTTCACAAATTCCTTCTTTTTTGCGATATTTTTATATGGGTCAGATCTGAAAATAGTCTCACAGATGCCTTTTTAGATTCTGAGAATATAAGTTTTCAAGTTTCAAAACTTCGTTGCAATCAAAATCAATGATATTTACACTAATTAGTACTGATAATCAAATACTAAAGCACTATTTTGAAATTGAAACTGACCCCAAAAACACACATAGGACCCTGTAAATACATATTAAAAACCAATAAAAAAGAAAAGTCCATAAAAAGAGAACAAATTACATTATATACTAAATTAATAATGATAATCAAAACTATCAACTGACACACTGATTTTTATCAAAAACTGATACTTAACATATACACAAAAGCACTATGACTGCGCTCAAAACCAATAAAAAACTGAACAATCTATAAGAAAGAGAATGAATTAGATTACTGTTGCAACTCGACATTTATGGACCAAATTGCTCTCCAATGCACAGAAACTTATTCTGAAACAAATTTTTGAAATTGAGATGAGCGATTCAGAATTATGCCATTAGACTTTCCAACTAAAACTGGACGCCTTACAGAAACTTGGTTCGGAGGTCTAACGAAGTACTGTGTCGTCTCTAAACGCATTTTCCGAAGAAAAAGCGCAAAATGATATACTTTTCTTGTAAAAACCCCGATTAAATTGCGCCGAAGGCGCACTAGCTTGCTGGGGAAAAACGTAAAAAAATTCGAAAATAATCATCTGAAAAATAAGTTTTTTGTATATTTTATTGACCGACACTGTATATTCGAAAACCTGAAAGATGAGATAAAAGGGGCTTTTTGAAGAATTAAATGATATTTAGACTTCTCGAAAAACGTGTATAGGGTTATTAAATAATCAACAAGATTTTTTCGTTGAACTATGTGGAAAATCATTGAAAATAGCAAGGTTTCGAAAAGTGTACTGATTAGCCAGACTAGAAAGTCTGTTGATCCCTTTCGCCACGTAGAGGCTCAGTACTTGAAAAGGAAATAAGGTTTATTTTCCAATGGGATCACCTTCTAAAACCCATAGGGAGTGGAGGGAGGGGTCCCCCACCCCTAACAAAAAAGACAAGAAGTCAGCCGAAAAACCCCTCCTTTCGGAGACCATTGTCGGTTAATTTCCAAAAGCTCCTTCTCCCTGATAAGAAGCTAGATGCATACCGCTTTTCATTTTTGTCTCAATTTTTTTAATCTTTGATAAAATCTCTTGCTACTGGGGGACGTTCAGTGAAAAACACCTAGCCATGAACCCCGAAACATGGCGACCCTTAGGGCCTTTTAGTACTTTTTCACATCGGATCAATCGACAGAAAAAAGCAAAAGAGACAACAATAAGCAGCGTAATGCAAAGAGCTTCTTACCAGAGAAAACGTGCCAGTGGAAATTATCCAACAATAAAGATTCAAAGAGTTTGATTTCCGAGAGAACTGGTTTTTTTTCCAATACGTGGCAATTTTTTCAACGTGGACAGAAGGAGGGGGCGTGACCTAATAAATATTGACTGATTTAATAATTTATTGCGTTACGTGAATAAAAAAACCGTTTTTTTTTTGAAAATCTTGAAAATTATATATAAACCAGCAAGCTGGTGCGCCTTCGGCGCGAATTCAATTCAGTTTTTTAATGGTTCGTGGCACCGCTCCTCCAATTATTCCTAAAGGGTCACGTAAATCTATATTTTTCAAGCTTTTCAAAAGCGGACAGCCTGACAACAGGACAGACAGACGCGTGTAGCGTTTTATTTATAAGGAAGATTGACGTGACTTTTGAAGAACAGTGAAGTAAATAGGTTAAATCGCGCCGAAGGCCACCAGCTAGCTGTTTAAAGCGCCGGAGGTGCTGTGAACATATTGGTCACAACCTCTTATGACCTGATTACTCTGAGTACACAGACAGAAGGATATAAAAATGACGTGTTATGTGATGTTATGGGATAACATTAAAAGTATACATATAAGAAGGAACGATTTTCAAAATTTATAATTTTCATCCCAAATCACTTCGATTTCCAAAATTTCTGTGAAGTTTCAGTAATTTCGCCATTTCTTTGCGGAGCGAAAAAAATGTTTAAATTTACATAAAAAACGATAAAGCCTTTTCGAGTAGTATTTCCT